CTTTAAAATAATAAAAAAGAAAAAAAAAAAAAAAAGAAAAAAAAAAGAAAAAAAATTAGGTACAGAGGAATTACATACTTCCTCCATCTTCTTGATACAAAATAAAATACAGATTTTACTTAAACTAGTGCAATTTCAGCTGTAGCCTGACTTTTTTTCAGCAAGCTATTTTAAAATGCACATCTAATATAAGTAAACAAATATTGTTTCTGAGCCAATTATATGATACAGGTGCTAAAATGTGATAATGAATTATCTGTATGAATGTATGAATCAGGGCAATAATGGAGTTAATACTTTAGTGCTATTTCCCAGTTTCCTGGCTTATCTTCTATTGTTGCTGATTTCAGAAGAAAGAACTGGGAAGACTGTCCTCAGCAGAAGTTTAATCTGCTTTGTTTTCTACTGTGGATTCTGTAGTTACATGAGGGATTGGCTGAAAGATCATCTATACTGTTATTAATAATAACAGAAAGAAAAGTATTTTTTGTACTCTTTACAGTTTTTAAAGTTCTTTTTCTTCCCAGGAATAGTTCTATGAACAAATTCAGCCACAAAATGCTGTTACATAAAACCATGGCTTTTAAAGAGATGCAGGAAAGGCATTTCATGTTCACAATACTATATACAATATAAAAGTCTTCTGTCAGTTATGTGGCTGTACCTTCACTCTCCTGTTTTCTCCTACTTGTTTTCTAAAACTACATATCAGAACATGGAAGGGAATAGGCTTGATATTCCCATTTTCTAGCAAAGAACCCGATTGTTCTATGAGATTTTATGCAAATACAAATCATAATTATATTTCACTAGCACCCCTGTCCACCTTTTTCTTCTTTATCCCTTTCATTTATTTTCATCTCTGAATTCTATTACTAGTTTTATTTATCTGAGCTGTGATATTATTGTGATAGTACCATTTCTGTCCTTTTATTTATTTCAAACATCTAATGCAAATACAGTTGAAGGGGGGGGGGGGAAGTAATCTTACCCTGATTCTGCTGTGATGCATTTTAATTGCACGATCCTCTGACATCAGCATAGTCTTATTCTAACAGTTTCATACAGCTTGCTGAACTGTGATGACAGCCTTACTGTTCTGTAACATCTAGGCAGTACCTTTTTGGAAAACAGGCTGTTCTGCAGGGCCTTTTTCCTCCCAAATTAATCATAGAAATTAGAGATAGAAAAGATCAGATCAGAAGTTGTAATATAATTCCCTTCTGTAAAAGTGGATAAGTTACTCAGGCAAATCTATTTGGTCTCTGAAATATTGTCATCACAGTAGAAGGGGCCAATATTCAAAGGGAAGAGATGTCCTAGACTTGAGAATACACCAGCCCAGTGAACTGTAGAAAGAACAACTCAGGCAGATACCAAACCCAAAACCAAGGGTGAAGAACTCGAGACATCCACTCCTACTTCTGCCTGCCCTGGTTTCTAACTTCCACCTGCAAGACAGTACGGTTTGAGTCACTTCAATGTCTTCTTGATATTTTATGTTTAAGTCTTAGTTCTACCCTTGGCTGGGTAGACAAATAAAAAACACAAAACAAAGTTAAGGATGATTTAAACAGAATTATACCTGACTGGATTAGTTGTCATGACTTCTCATTTTGGTGGAAAACACCCATAGAACTGAAAAAAACATATATATATATATATACAGACCCTCAAAGCAAAATATTTCATTGCACTGCATAGTATATCTTGAGGTTCACTGGTCACTCCAACTGCTATTATTTAGAATCCTTATCAAAACTGCACTTCTTAAAAATGTTTAAAGAAACCCAAAACCTGACCACCTCTAGATTTTCAAGTTCAGTTCTAAAAAGATCTTCAGTTAACTCCTACCTACTTCTACATTAGGTGCCTAGATGTGCAATGGTAGTCTAGGCCTTTTCTTTACTGCTGCTTTTCTCAGGTGCTTTCTATTTCATGTCACATAAATTCATCCAGTGGATAGCACTACCCTTCTTGGCATACCCAGAATTACCTCAGTCTTGTCACTACTGAGATATACAATGTCCCATACATCTACTAAATCTACTGCTTAGTACACACCAAGTACTCCTATCATGTGAAAGGTCCAATATAAGAGACATTTTCAAAGCAGCCCTGACATGTCATACGAAACTGCCAGAAGCAAGGAACATCCTCAAGTCTGCAGCGCTCATCCAGCATATGGATTTAATTCATTTCTCTGCCTGACAGTAAAACTCACATCACTTTCCTTTCATGACTGAACCACCAAGAATAGCACTGATAAATATTTTTTAGACTGTAAGGAGAGCAGTAACTGTCTCACTCCTATGTGCCAGGGAATTGTAGGTGATAAAGTGGCAGAAAGCGATGCCATTTGGCATATCTGTACATCTACCTAATCACATCTACATACTTTTTGGCTACAGCCAACTTGAACTTGACCTCAAAATCCTTCATTCCTTTACCCTGAGTATGACTTCTAGCTGCCGTTTTCTGCCAATTACTCTTTCATGCATCTAATTTTCTTGACCAGAAGATGGCATAGGCATTTCAAAATTAATTGTTGCTGCAGGTTCACTGGAAGTTTCTGCATGATAATTATTTTAATCTAAATACAATATAATGTTTTCTTTTCAGAGTGCATCAGTATGATTTCTCATTTATGCTGTGCTGATTATGTCAATTTTTCTTTAAATTGTAGCACACAGAAATAAAGTATTACAATATGGACTATTCTGATAACATCATCTTTAACAAATCTATTGTTCCATACCTCTCAATCATACTGTTATGTAGGTCTCCAACTATCCAGACCTCTAAGACTCAGCATCCTGAACTTCTATCAACTGCAGTTAAAAGTTGAGGTTACTTAGGTCATTACAGTATCTCATCTTGTCTGTGACACCCAGAATCTCTTCCTTAGTAAGATTATAAATTATTTCAAACTCTCCTCAGTGCTAACAAGCTACCTGCCTGACATCATTACAGCTGTAGGCAATAGCCAGATCTGCAATTACACAGCTGTTTTCATTAGTGTCCCAACTAGATGACAGAGGGCCTAAAAATCCCTTCTACTATGTGACAGAGCTTTACATTTAAATGAGGTTTTAAGAAAATAGCTACATAATACAAAGGTTTTTTTCAGCCTGAAAAGAAAGAGAAAGGCTTTCCTAAATGTGTTTAAAGCTAAAAGGCTCATTGTGGGGTTTAAGCTGTTAAAATTTCCCTCCATCACCACCTGCAGCATTAGGGTTAATTTGATAATGAGAACCAAAACCCACAGGCCCATCACGCTATTCAAATTTAATGTGCATGTGGACTTCTTGATTCAGGCCAGGTTTATAAATAGTGCCTTTAGTTTAAAAATAGGCTTTTGAGATCTAAGAGAGTTGATATTATGATCTGTAAAGTGAATGAAGCTCCCAGGAGTAGCAGGAGCTTATGTAATATTTATTTCTACATTTTTGCTCAGCTGTTTCTTGCCATTTTGATGCTGAGCTGCAAAGACTAATAGTGTTTTCAGCTTTTCAACTCTCTTTGGTGAAGCTGGGGCTGTCTGCACAGTTGCTTTTCTGTAACCTTACTTGGCTTTGGGATTTTGCTTAAGAAACGGTGGTCATTGACCATTCAATCTTACCTAAAAGGCAAAGCACCTCCAGTTAGCATCAAGACTCCTTTTAGCTAAATTTGGTACAACATGAAGCACTAATGCAGAATAGGAAACATAATGTTATATACTTCAAAATGTAGAAACATGAAGAAAACATGATGGTTTCTTTAAAGCATTTGTTATAAGAAGCCAATACATTTAGTACCAAAAAACTGGAGTCCTTATGTTTTAAAACATTGTTATTTTGTTCCATAGATAAACGATTTATCTTTTTTACAACATGTTTTTTGCTCAGGCTAAAGCTAAAGTGCCTTGCTGGTATAGATACTTTTACCTTTTCTTTTAACCTATTTTTATATATTTGTATTTTGTCTGCTCAAAATAAATCTATAAAACAGTTAATCAAGCCCACTTTAGACTAATAATGAAATTCTACATAATCTAAAACTAGCAATATATTTTCTTACAGGTTGCAAAAGGAGTTAAGATTTCATCTTCAGTGAATAATACCAGAATCCCAAAATGTAATCTCAAACACTCACACACCTATTTATGCATGCAAACATAGGCATTTATATACCTACACACATGCTTTAATGATGCATCTTGTGACTTCCTCTTAGAAAAAGGAATGATTGGGAGGCATTCAGATGAATTATAATTTAAGCAACTGAGAACAGAATGTATAATCTATGCTCAAAAGATTAATTCAAAACATGTAGTTATGAAGGGTTCCATCGGTTTTGAAGAACAGAAGGTCTAAAATAGTCTCCTTATGTTTAATTAAAAAATGAACCAAGAGAATGGATCATTGCTTAATTTTCTAGTTTGGGACCAGAGACGCATGTGGCATCAATAGTGTCTGGGAACTGTCTGTGTCACTGCCCAGCCGCACTTCTTTTATTGAAGGGTATGTCTCAGTTTAGGAAAGACAACTAAGTTGTGTTCAGCTAGACTCCTGGAAGTTAGATTTAGTTAAGTGCTATCCAGGAGATTCAAAAGCAATGACTTTAAAAGTCATGGAAGCTTGAAATACAAATGGGGAAAAAAAGATTTTCATTTCAGGACTGGAAAATTTAAGGGGTAATGTAAGGAAAGGGAATTAAATTAAATTTACTTTATTTAATTTAGGTAAATGTGAGTTTTGAAATTTATTAGTTCTGCAGATTTTTCAGGAGAGGCTATCTATTTAAAACCAAAGCAAGGCAAAGCAAAGTTACGAATATTTTAATTTTATATGAATTCTGAGTCTGGGTGACTGGAACAATCCAAATTAATGAGATGATAAAAATATTAGGTCATGGTAATTAAACTAAAAGACAGTTATCTATTAAAAATGGCATCTTGAGGTTAAGCTACTTTCTTCTTAGGTTAAAAATGAGTGTCTTATTTCTGATACACGACGATGAATTTTGATCTAGAAAGTACAAACTAATAACATTCATAGTGCTCCACTAAGGCTGTTCATTAATATACTAAGAACAGAAGTGACAGAAAAGAGCAAAATAAAATTAATACTTGCTTTTTTATATTTATTTTACAGGAAATGTGTTTGTTGTAAGCCTGGCAGTTGCAGACTTGGTTGTAGCAGTCTACCCGTATCCTCTTGTTCTCACATCTGTATTTCATAACGGATGGAATCTGGGATATCTTCACTGCCAGATTAGTGGCTTCCTGATGGGCCTCAGTGTCATTGGATCAATCTTCAATATCACAGGCATCGCTATCAATCGGTACTGCTATATCTGCCACAGTCTCAAATATGACAAGCTATACAGCAACAAGAACTCATTGTGTTATGTTGTCCTTATCTGGGTCCTAACATTTGTTGCTATTGTGCCCAACCTGTTTGTGGGGTCGCTCCAGTATGACCCCAGGATTTACTCATGTACATTTGCACAATCTGTGAGCTCAGCATACACAATAGCGGTTGTGTTTTTCCATTTCCTTCTTCCTATAGCCATAGTCACTTTCTGTTACTTGAGAATATGGATCCTGGTTATTCAGGTAAGGCGAAGGGTTAAACCAGATAACAACCCCAGACTGAAACCACATGACTTCAGAAACTTTGTAACCATGTTTGTGGTATTTGTATTGTTTGCAGTCTGCTGGGCTCCTTTGAACATTATAGGTCTTGCTGTGGCTGTCAATCCGGAAACCATAATCCCTAGGATTCCAGAGTGGTTATTTGTATCTAGTTATTACATGGCATATTTCAACAGCTGCCTTAATGCTATCATATATGGACTGCT